AAGGGGACAAAAAAACCCAAGGCCACCCCGCCAACCCCTGGCGGTCCGCCCCTGCTTGCAGCCTCTGGTTTGTAGCAAAACTATACAGGCAAACGCTGAGCCAGAGAAAAAAAAAAAAAAAAAAAAAAAAAAAAAAGGATGGGAAGGGGAGAGCACTTTGGGAGATACAGAAGGAGGGGTAAAGTGGGAGTTATGCTTGGGGAAAAAAACAAAAACAAAAACAAAAAAAACCTGCTGAGCATATCCTATCATCCAGTCAGGACTCTGGGGCCTGTAGAAAGCCATGCCACTTTGCTTGTGAAATCAAAGGAAGAAAGAAAAGTGCCAGAGGAGTATAGGGTTCAGGTCAGGTTCCATCACAGAGGAGGAAAAGAAGTACTCTGAAGTCTAGAACCAAGAATTCAAGTCTCAAGCTGAGCTGGAAAGAACCCAAACCCTCAGAAAGCCCAGAAGCAATAAGGCACTGCTGGATTTTTGTTGTTTTTTGTTTTGCTTTTTCCCACTGTTTTGAGTTTTTTTCTATGCTGAGAGCAGGTTGGGGGTGCTCTGTCCAGAAGTGGAGACAGCAAATTTGTTACCTACACTCAAAGACAAAGCCAGCCTCTACCATCCAGAGCTAGAGGAAGGGAATCAAAGGATTTCTCCCTCCCCTTAAAAGAACTGATTTTCTCCTTGAATTATGAAAGTAATGGCTAAGGTAACAGCCTGTACTCTGTACCCAACTGCTTAATACCAAATAAATCCTTCCACGTGGCTCCCAGAGTCATGGCAATTAGAGCTCATTATAGGCTCATAAGAGCTCTCATTTGGGGGATTACTTAATGGACGAAGAAATTTTATCGAACAGAATCACCAAGAAATAAAATTGTGCATCAGGACAAGCACTGTGGCTGTAGGCTGATGTTCTGTTGGGTCCACTTGGGAGAAGGCCCAGCATGAGGTCCTCTTGCTCAGAGTAGTTTTCAGTAAGTACTGCCCAGGACATGGAAGACAGGCTTGCTGGAGAAGGTAAGGGGCATGGGTGGAGCTGGCTTCTATTAGGAAGCAGAAGGAGGGGGAAAAGGGAGAACTAGAGCAAAGAAAAGATAAAGCTTATGGAAAGGGAGGTGCAACACCCAAGTACTTGCTGTTAATGGGCCCAACCAATTAACCAAGCACACCACTAGGAAAGTGCCTCAGACAGAGTCAGTTCTCAGTCTCATCCTCATTCTGGCCTGAAGCCTCCATGCCCTGCAGCCCTCAGTCAGTAACCCCATGGGCCCTCACCTTTCTCAAAATCCCTTGACAGTGAAAACAGTGTTTTCATACATTGTCAGGCATAACCCAAAGGAGATGCAAGGCTCCCAAATAACCAAGAGTCTCTAAAATAACAAGCCAGTCTGCACTCCAGCCTCACTTCTAGCACATTAGCAGAGCAATTCTTCCTGGAAGCACACCAGAAGCCACTGCTCATACAGCCATGTAAGCACCAGCCCCAAACAGACTGTAAATAGCTTACCTACCCAGAGGAGGAAAAAGGAAAAAGCCGAATTCTCAAAGCATCAGGGGGAGGAACCTACTGAACAATTTGTGCCTTTAAAAAAGTGCCCTGCCATCCAGCTTTTCTCAGATGTTGAACTTCAATTTTTTTTTTTTTCTGGGACTGGAATGATTGCAAGGACTGATGCCATACAGGAAGCCTGGATTCTTTCTTTGATGGGAAGGGTGGTTTGGGTGGGGCTGGGCTGGACTGGGTGGGCTGGGGTGAAAATGAACATCTTTGAAGGCTGTATAGATGAACCTTGTGGTGCAAAAGTAGTTACAGCTGAGCTGCCCCTCTCAGCCCTGAGACTCCTTAATTGTTGTCATAAGATGTTGGATTAGCACATTTCTGGAATAGCTGTCTGTTTACACTCTGGAGACCCAACGTCCACTAACCGCTTTCTAATTGAATTCTAATCACATTCAAATAGCTCAATAACCAGCCTCAGCTGCAATTCATAAAACTTTAATTGCCATCCATAAATCCTGGGCTCCCCAGAGCGGGGCATCTTACAACCCAATTATACTTCTCTAGCAGGCAAAAGAGATGGTCACAAAGATAGGAAGAGAGGTTTGAAAAAGGGAGAGGGAGGGAGAGAGAGAAAGAGAATGCCAAGGGATATAGAGACAGAACCAAGCCTCCAGCTTGTGTCACCTGCCCTTGGGCACTTTGTCTCATTGGGTAGAAGGAGTCATATCTTCAAGATTCTCGGTGTTGTTGTGAACTAACACTTGAAGTGAGCCATTCTGGGGAAAAAAGGACCTGAACTGCAGCCTACTTCTCTTCAGGGGGAGAAGAGGCTGCTGTCACCTCTGCTGCCTGACCTTCCCGAAAGATCAAGTGCAGCAGTGGTGACAGCCATCCTCACTCTAGCAGCTGTATGTACAAGCCTCCTTGCACCATCAGAAGAGAGTTCCTGTACTAAACCATGTCTCATAACAGGATTCCTGCAGTGGCTCAGTCCCCATCATTCTTTTTAAGACCTGAGGATGTAGAGTGTATGGGTATTTAAAAGGG